ATACATATACATATACATATACATATACATATACAAATATACATACACATACACATACACATACATATACACACATACACATACATATACACACATATACATACATATACACACACACATACATATACACACACACATACATACACACACACACATACACACACACACACACACACACACACACACACACACACACACACACACACACACACACACACACACACACACACACACACACACACACACACACACACATTGATTTATTCATATTTTTTCCATATTATTTTTAAATTTTCTAAGAGAATTGTAATGGGTTGAATTTTTTTGTTCCTTTAAGTTAAGGATTGTAAAAGGGAATTTTAGATTAAATTAATTTTCTATGGAATCAACATGTCCTCTCAAATTTTGCAGTAATGGCAGGCCTTTCTTGTATAAATACAATTCCATCTGTCATTAAAATGTAAGCATAAAATATCATACTTAGCTTCTCATTTATTCAGCCCATCTCAGTGTCAAAATAGGTCACACATGTTCGTGAAACCAATGAGAGTTTAGGGATTTGTGTATGTACATTGGCGGCCCTCAAGAATACCATTCTTTCCTTTTTTATATGGAAGATTTAGCTACATATAGAAATATGCTAAAATATATGAAGCAGAAATATTGGATAAGTTTGATACTTGTATGTTCTTACATAGTATTGTATGTATTATGTTAAAGAAATTTAAATGTGAGTGTATTACAGTGTAAGAGATTAGTGAGTTTGATCAAAAAAGTAGATTGGAGTTTTAAAGTTATACATTGGTGGGTGAGGTAATATGACTAGGTAGAAATGTGATGCCTAGTTTATGAAATTATGAATATTCATTAGTGAGTGAGTGAACTACAAGACTGTGAGATTAGGAGCACTGATTGGACTGAAAATTTTCCTAGATTAGTGGAAAGTGTGCTTTTATGAATCAAATGTACACGATTTGACATTTCTTTAATATAGAAAAAGACACATGCAAAAAACATTCTGGATACAGTGGCTAATATAGTAGAAAGATTATTTCTGACAGGATACTGTATTAGCCTTTTACATTGTTTATATGTGGATGAAATCAAGAACGTATGCCAGGAATTTATAGTGTGATGTTTCACCAATAGTGATTAATTGAGATATGCTCATGGTTGGAAATGGATTTTTTATTATTACTATAAGGTATGTGGTCAAAATGGCATAACACATTGATTTCTTGTAACTTATGATTTTACAAATGAATGCTGCTGAAACCAGCAAGTGATCAAGCTGTACCTAATGGTAAGATTGAAATCAACTGTTAATCTTTATATTTGTACTGTTAGTAAATGTGTGTAACATCTTAAATTTACATTAAACATCTCTGATGTACAAATGTTTACAGACACACAAATAAATACGGTTATAGCTTCATATACACAAGCTCAAAAATGTAGATATATACACAGAAGCAAACAAACATACACAAGGTCTCATTCACACAAATAGAAAATATATTTATTATTTTTGCTTGTAGAATCCAGTGAAACATCCCTAAAATCTATTATATTTATTCAAAAGAAATGAAGTGACTGTGAGGTAAGGAATTGTCAACATATAAACTTTACTTATTGATTGTGTCCACCAAAAGCAGCCAGGAGAGATTTCTAAGCCTCTCTTTTTCTTCAGTATTTCCTGTTGTGGATAAAAATTCACTGAAAAACAATTGTGATAATATTGTAAAAAAAATATAGAGTGCAATATGATTTACTGTATTAATCAAACGTGTAAAAAGATATGCATGGTTCAGAAGTGTGTTATTGATTATTGTAAGTCAATAGAGTAGATGCCACATCCTCTCCTCCATCTGCTTGCAGTCAGTACCTGTACCATTCCAGCAAAATATCCATGTTCCAAAAAAAAACAAAAAAATGCCAGCTGTAAAATCCTTATCCAAGATCCTATGTGTGTGTGCCTGTGTTAAGTAGGTTTCAGGAAGTTTTAGTTTGTATACCTATAAAATGTTTTAATAGATTAGATTTAAGATCCAGGTTGATTGTCAAGAAAAAGAAGTTGTGCAACTGCTTACTGAGAATGCTGACAGACCATCAGTTATTGATATTTTGCCAGTTATATACTCTATTTGTGATGCAGACTTTCTACTTAAGGCTTTCCCCCCATTTTGGTATATAGGCTTGTGATTTTCATGTTCTAGTCATTTCAGTACAAACTTTGGAGAAAATGTTATTTCTTTTCTTTGGTCTTTTACTGTTTACTTATCCAGGGTCTTTCATTGACTTTTCTTTCTTTTGGGTTATTTTGGGCATGTCTTTTAAGCTGTATTAAAAAAAAATAAAACATTTTAGCCTTGGCAGCAGCCAGTAAGTACTAACCACATGGTATAGCTGGTATATTCAGAGTAATAAGGTATTGTAATGGTTGTATTTGATTATAGTGAGATGCTTCCTGTTGCAGCCACAGAACGGATATAAGCAACAAAGGAGAAAATGGTTGCATTATGTAAGGTATTCTTTTGAGATGTCAGGGTATTATAGCACACAAGTTACAGACATATACAAGTAACTCACAGTAAGTAAAGATAATTAATACCAGTTACAACTCTGTTTTTTTCTCATTACCTTTGTAGGTTTACTGACAGAGCTCAGTATATTTCAATTCTGTGAAAATGTTATGATCTTGTTAGTTCTTGCACTCCATGACCTCATATTGATAATATTCAGAATTCTTTAGCAGCCCACTTACATAAGTAGGTAAGTAAAATTAAGCTGAGAAGCATGCAGGTGTCATGAATGTTTTCTTTTCTATCTCTTCATATTTTCTTCCTTATTCCATAACCCAATCACCATGGATGGCCTGTTGTGATGCCATGTTACAATTTGGCCACACCACACATGGCATGTCGTCATGTCATTTCCAGATCATGGAGAAAGTTTTGTAATGTAGTCACAAAGTCACAATGTCACACTTACTTACTTACTTACTTACTTTTTTTTTTTTTTTTACTCTTACTCTTACTTTCGGTACTGGAAGGCAAGGGGATGGGCAAACATCAAACCAACTGATGCAGAGTAACAAGCCCATCCCTGGGGCTATCCTGTTTTTTCACTTGAAAACTGTCTTCATTTTCCCTTGTTTCTGTTATATGTATATGTATGTATATATATATATATATATATATATATATATATATATATATATATATATATATATATATATATATATATATATATATATATATAAAATCATGGTCAGTTCATAAAATGTTTTAACTTTCTTCATTAGTGTTTATTATATATTTGTTTGTTAAACAATTTATTTATTTTCTATTTTTAAGAATTTAAGAAAAATATTAATCTTAAAAAATAAAATAATGATAAGCACAACATTCTCAACACCTGAAACTAATCTTTAAAGAGCACACTATTGTTTTAGTCTCTTTTATTGCCTTGTGTTAGTGCTGGTCAGGAAGGAGAACTCACAATGCACACTGTAAAGATAACAATTTTATTTGTATTTTTTGAGCTTGAGTGTCACCCACAAAATCACATTAACAGCAAAAGGCAAACAATCTGCCTAAAATATTATCAGGGTCTTTGTGTTTCTATCTATTTCTCTTAAAGTAATATTTGGTACCATGAAAATAATGTACACTAAATTAACATTTTTAACCCATTCGTGCCAGGTGTCACATATACGTGACATGCCCACTGTGAGTTTACTTGTTTAATTGTCTTTACACATAGATGGCTACACTTGTACATGTATTGCCTGTCTTGCCTGTTTACCCTTTTCTTTAATTTACGAAAAAAAATTACATTATCTTATTTTGCTGTTACTAATGTTTATAACATTATAGTAATTATATGTTTATAATAAAATAACCATTGATATTCATAGAACTAGTAAAAAATACATTTCTCTACCAAATGAAATCAGGTAAGGCAGAGCCATCTATGTGTAGAGACATTTCACAAAAAGTATAAAAAATGAGCACAGCATTTTTCCCATTTTTTGTTCATTTTTACCCGTCGCAAATGGGTTAAATGTTAATGTCAGCCACAATTATATATGTCAGAAACCATAATTTAAACATTTAGTTACAGTAAAGCTAGTTTACTGAGTAATTAGAAATTTAATACACTTATTACTGTTCTTTGCTCCTTTTTGTATAAATCTCTACAAAAGAGTAATAATAAAATAATAACACTGTTCATATTAAAATACCTCTTCAATAAGAGTAACATTATAAAACAATATTATAACATAAATACTATACATTTTTGTCCCACACACACTTCATTAATTAAAACTTCAAACCCTCACAAAAGAAAGGGAAAGATAGCTTTTCTCTTTAGAGGATAGTCCTTAAAAGTTTCCCGATACCAGCTGTGATTCATCACTGCAACCTGGACCTGAAATGTATTAGCATAATTCATAAATTAGACGCTGGATAATTTCTCACAAACTGTTTTAAAATACTTCTCCAAATCAACACTAAGGGTTTTTAATTTTACCATAACCATACCTACTTAACAATATTTTCCATAAGGATAATTCCTCACCTGATTACAAATGACCCAAGTTGTGACGAAAAGCCACTCTGTATGGTTCCACAGAACAAGTGTGATTCCTACATATACAAGGACCTCTGCAAACATGTGTGGGCAAGACAGCAGATCAAACATCCCACCTCTTGGCATCATGTGCTTTTCTTTGGCATTCTTTCCTGGAAATATATTGTGATTATCAATACCATAATCTTCATATATGCACACAAGCAAAAACAAACACATGCTTAAACACAAACACACAGAGAACTATATAATTGTGAGAAGGTATCAATGAAAACATCATTTTTATGGTGCAACCAATATATTTTATTTTAATCTTCATCATAATTATTGAACTCATTCTCATTCTCATTTCCCTCCTTTATGTGTTTGTTTCCTTTCATTGGTTTTGAATTTCTTTTTTCCCCTCTTTGCTTCCTCTTTTTTTTTGTTTTGTTTTTTATAACAAAAGGGCAAACCAAAAATACCCTTCAATGATTTACTGCCAGTTAGTTCCCCAAAATCCATACAAATTAGAAAAGTCACTGAAGCCAACATACCACAAAAATTATTCCCTACTGTTCAAATATTACTGTCCCCATTTCTTACATGTCAAATTACAATTAAAGTTTATGTATACTCACCTGAACTCTTTCTCAATGAAGCCAATATACTAAGACTGGAGAACTGAAGAACATATCCAGCCAGACTCAATATACAACCTAGAACATGATGCATCTCCACACTGGTAAATGTAGCATCAAAGCCTGCAAAATCAACACAAATTGAGATTCTATACAATATCCATATTTTCTATCTATCATTCTTATTCACTAATATAAACAGTCATGTGTTTGTGTTCTATCATTCTTATTCACTAATATAATCATTCATGTACTTATGTTTTTGAATAGGTTTTCATAAACTTAAAATGTATGAAAGAAAAATACTAATAACACTTACTTTGGCCATCAAAGCCAGGTGCCTCAGCTAAGAGTAAAGTCACAGCACCAAGATAATGTGTATGACCAACAATGTAATGGAGAATATTGATGTGGCCTGAGCTGAAAATACTAACAAAGAGGTTCTCATACAGTCGCCGATATATCTGGAGAGCTAGTAAGACCAGTCCTATTGCTGCAGCTGTGTTGGTGACTGAAAGATAGTAAAATGATAATTATAAATTGTTAACTATATGTGCATATCTTGAAAATTAAAAGCCGATATATAGCCTATATGTGTGTCTATCTGCTTATAAAGATATGTACATACATAAATATATGTACATTATACATTATACATTATACATTTATATACTTATATACATTAATTTTATCATTCATTAATTTATATATTTATTTACCTATCTACTTAATTACTTGTTTATCAATCTATCTATCTATATCAATAAGCTGCTATGTATTTAAAATTTTGTAACATGAGAGAGGAAGGAGTGTTTGCCTAGTTGATGATATCAAGACCATTTTTCTCAAAGAATATATCTGTGGGAAGGGGAAAACTTCACTTACCTGCTGGTTTTCTCTCTGGGGATGTAAGTATATCAAACAGTGATTTTTCCCAAGTGGGTAAGGCACTTCCTTGTATATACAAAAGTCCCATTTGCACTAGAGCTGCAGTAACTGCCACACTTGCAAGAACGTAGAAGTGGTAGAACCATCTGAAAATGCATAATGTGCATACCTGATACAACAGTGACATTTTATTCATATGATATAAATTTTCCAAGACAAACAGTGTCCCAGAACACTTAGACACTTTTCATTTATGACAATTCTGCTACAAACTATGGAAAACTTTCCATATATATCAACCAAGAGTACAGTAAAAATAAGTATATGGAGTGGATACCTTGACGAAAACTAAGACACTTTTCATCTATGGCAAAAGGGGCGCAAATCTAAAATAAGGGAGATACAGGACAGAGAAGACAGAAGATCGACCCTTCATTTTCTAAGTCACCAGGGAGGTTTATATACTCTGTCATAATTTAATTGAGCAAACACAGAAATACTTATACATTCTATATCAAATTTTAACATTTCCACTCCACTTTGCTTTGTAAAAGTCAACTTCTGCAGACTCTCCAAAGCCCGGTTGATAAATAACCTGTCTAAACTAGCCACTGCTATCAATAAGAATAATAAAGATACAGTAAACAGATTAAAAAATATACCACAAATACGACCCAAACACAAACATCATTGTAAAACCAACGTCGTTCCCTCATCTTCACATCACAAACAACCTACCTCTTAGGAATCTCAAAGAAGGAAATGAACCTGTTGGCTCTCCCGTGTGCCATTTTGCCGAACTTGAAAGCCTGCAGGAAGAAATCCGGCAGAGGAATCACAGAAGCCATGAAATTCACCCCCGTTCCGCCCAGGCTAATAACCACGATATAAAACACGAACATTAATCTACACCAATTCCACTCGTAGGCGGCGCTTAGCAGAGTGTCCCACTGGGTAGACATTTTCTTTTTTTTAACTCTAATGTATCGTAGTACAACAAATATGGTGAAGAAATCTGTGTTCTCGGGGTCATTGAACGTCCCGGGTGTCAGCTGTTCCGGGCTGTCAGGGTGAAGACATGTCATATATTTTTGATGATATTTTGGTTACGGTTGTTGTTTTATTATTTTGTTCTTTATATGTCGTTTTTATTGATTTATTTTACTTAATTTTACCCTAGATAATTATTCTTTTTTGTTTCTAGTATGTATGTTGCTTAAGAATAAAACACAATGAAACTATGATCTATAATTTAATTTATTTTTCATAAGCATGATATTTCTCTTTTATAAAGGGCAATACAGTTATCATGTTTTACATCAGTACGTTATATACAAAGTAATTTATTAATGTGTGTGTTTTAAATCAAGATCTTTAAAATATTAAATGTATCATCAGCCTACATAGACGATGACTTCATGTTTTCGTTAATCCTGCAGGAGCGCTAAACAGCACATGGTTATACATGAACATCAGAGTTTATGCTTCCATGATACGACACTATATTTTCGACAGCTAAAGTCTTGAAAATGCATGTTACAAATATGTGTATGTGTATGTGCATGTGTGTGGATGTGTCTATATATATATATATATATATATATATATATATATATATATATATATATATATATATATATATATATATATATATATATATGTGTGTGTGTGTGTTTGTGTGTATGTATGTATGTATACATATATATATATATATATATATATATATATATATGTATACATATATATATATATATATATATATATATATATATATATATATGTATACATATATATATATATATATATATATATATATATATATATATATATATATATATATTCCAAAAAAAGGGGAGAGAGAAAACCGATATTTCGCGGTAGTCAAAACTTCGTCGAACATGATAAAAAGACACCTCTAAATTCACTTTTTGCTTTGACATTGTCAAAATATTTTGAATGTATATGTATGCGTGTGTGCGTGCGTGCGGCTCTCTCTCTCTCTCTCTCTCTCTCTCTCTCTCTCTCTCTCTCTCTCTCTCTCTCTCTCTCTCTCTCTCTCTCTCTCTCTCTCTCTCTCTCTCTCTCTCTCTCTCTCTCTCTCTCTCTCTCTCTCTCTCTCTCCCCCTCAATATATACATATATATATATATATATATATATATATATATATATATATATATATATATATATATATATATATATATATATATATATATGTGTGTGTGTGTGTGTGTGTGTGTGTGTATAAATATGTGTGTGTATATATATATATATATATATATATATATATATATATATATATATATATATATATATATATATATATATATATATATATATAAAGCACGTACATTGCTAATAACGATAGTGCGATAGTATCCAGTAATAAATATTTGATGGCATCTCACTCCTCAAACACTGAATGCAACTTGCCCAGTCTGTGGCGATAGTGACTACGTGCGCGTATGCACGTACTTGTCACCAGTGATTAAGCTAGTACCCCATCTGGACCAAGGTGTATATGAATATATTTATACACTTGGGTCATCTCTGTCAAACATATACACGCCACTAAATACAGTACAAATAAGCACTTCCTTTAGGGACAGTAAAATAATCCAAAGAACTGACGTAGTTCTAACTTGTGTCATTAGAAATGCAATTCGCACATCTAAAAACAAAATGCATTCGTTTATTTTGAGTTTACTATGTCTCAAGATGTAGTTATATACTTGCATTAGACCAAACCGTTTGCATAATAGAAACTCAAAACAACCATCTTTATGCTTAAAAAAACTGTAAAACAGATCTAAATATTTTTTTTACACCTGTTGCCTGCCAAGACTTTTTAAATCTCGCGGCCAAAGACTTGTAAACAAACAGACGACATTCATTCGTCATACAACGTCCCTTCCATCAACAAGACGCAATATTTATATGATAAGAAAAAGATATGATATGATAAGAATATAAAGATTTGTTCTTCTCGTATTGTGAGTTTTCTTTCAATATTACAGTCTAGATGAGTGGTGAGTTAGTGACGATTTTTTTCTTTTATAGGTGTACGAATAGATTTAATAATGTTTTGGAGGAAATATTTTTTTAGTATCAAGAAAAGCGAATAATTTGCAGTAGATTATTTTCAGTTCACTTATACCTGCTTAGGTTCATTCAGTGCAAGTCAAAGCATGTGCAACATAAGGTCGTGAGGGTCCAGTTGTAATCAATATGCAATAATGTTTTTATTATTGCAAAATGCGATATCTGTTGCACTTTTGAATAAGTAAGACAGCATAAGTATCCACAAAATATGAATATTAAATCGAAATTGGTGTCTTTGCAACGAAATAAAGACATCTTTTCTGTAAAATAGCTACGTATGTGAGTGTTAGTAATTTCGAGTGACATAATTGGATGAAAGGTCATTATGTTCTCTGTACTGTATACTCATTTTCTTCTGTTGATTTCAGGATTTATAGATATTGTGGATAGCAGTACATGTTTTGAATAGAATGCATAATCATTCACAAATTATGTAGGATAGATGAAAAGTTCTAGCTCATTTAAGTGAAAAGCTGCAATAACAGAAGTAACAGTTTCATGTTTAGTTTAAAGCATCATTAAAACTTGCTGTTCACTCACTGCTTGATGGAGTTTATTCATTTAATATTTACTCTATATAGTAATGAAATGACAGAGTTTGACTTGCAATTTTCAGATACAGGATTTCTTGTTATTACTTTTATCCTCATACAGAGTAGTGTTTATGATATGACATAGTTACTTTTATTAAAGAATAGCTGGTTTTATCAGTCAAAGCCACATTTATTCTCTATTTCTGTTTTTGTTCTCAAACTTACGTGAATAAGGTTAAAATCTCACAGAATAAGGGAAAGAGAGAACAAGTGATATAGCCCAACTGTTCATTATTAGTGATTTGTCAAATTTCATTTTATATGCTTTTTTATATAGTTTTTTTATAAATGCATTATAAAGAATTACTGCTTCCAAGAAAATAATTGCCAGATAGTACTTACAGTAGATAGTACTTATACCTAATGGAAATTTAACTGAATATTGTTATTTTCTCCTTTGATTTACAGAGGAATAATAGCATAATCTTTTTTTTCTACTTCTTTTCAGACAACAATTTAGAAAGCCAAAATGTTCCAGATAGTGCAGAAAAATTTAGTCCTCCTAATTCCAACTGTAAATATTCCATCAAATGCCCTTCTGAAAGCCAGCCTCATCTGTAACCAAAGCATCTCTAAAACGTCCAACAGCCTAACCACCCTAAAAATGTGTCTGAATCACATCCAGCATTATTCTTCGAAATCATTTTTGCCGCCGCCCTCTTTAATAAAGAGTGGAGTGCCGTACACAAATAATAACGTCCAGGTTCTCAGAGTTTATAATCAACTAGTGTCCTCATGTAGACAACTAGGAAGAGATAGGATTGTAAAAGTTCGTTCTGCCTTTACAAGAAATATGAACAAGGGAAGTTTGCGACCGAGAAGAGAAACACTGGGAAAGCTAGTGTTAATGTCATCATTTCTGGCACCAACAATGTCCTTTAATAATAATAATGCTCAAGTTGAGAAGAAAATCCCAGTCATAGAAATCACTAGAAAGGCTAAGAAGAATAGGAGTTACCTCATTCAGTTATTTCTGGAGATCTATGAGGCCTTCCGATTATGCCTGAGAGCATTACGGCTGGTGATCACATTTACGCCGATCTTCGCTCTCTACCCCATGACTTTCTTTGGAGAGGAGAGTAAAGATTTGTGGTGGTACTTGCTTTTGCGAGGTAAGGTTCATTAATGTGTTTCCATGATATTCAGCAAGTTTTGTGAATTTATGCAAATAATCATCTGAATTGTAACAAGATGTTGAACTAAAGTCACTTGTTTTTATAGATTTAAAAATGGTATTAAATGTATAATAGAAAAAAGATTTCTTGTTAGTAGAGTTTCAGCTAATTCTATATAGTTTTTACTACTAAAGTTGTTGTATAACTGAATGTTTTTACCATTCAGTAGCATGATGATGACTTAAAAAGATTATATACTGATAAAAAAAGAACAATGCTCAAGAGTGATAAATACACATGTAGCCTCACAAGCAAAGAATTCAAGTTATTAACAAGTCCATGCTTTTCAGGAATAGAGTTCTCAGGACCCATTCTGATCAAGTTAGGACAGTGGGCCTCAACACGGAGAGACTTGTTCCCAGACTCTTGTTGCCGCCAGTTTGCCAAGCTCCAAAGAAGTGTCAAACCACACTCATGGAAGTACACAAAATATATGATGAGAAAAGCCTTTGGTCCTGACTGGAGGAAGATCTTTGTAAAGTTTGACAATAACAGAAACCCAGTGGGGTCTGGGTGTGTTGCTCAGGTTAGAATTATATTTTATGAACTATTTTCAAATATATCAGGTTTCTTCATGTTATCTTTCTCAGTAACTTTGCATATCGTTTTCACTTTCTTTCCTTCCCTTCTTTTTCCAATTATTTCATATTTCATTCTTCCTGTCTTCGTCAGTGTCTTTTTATCTTCTTTCCCTTCCTCTTCTTCATCATCTTCATATTCTTCTTGTCCTCCTTTTCATCCTCCAGCACACACAATTTTAAGGATTAGCGTTGTGCATAAGATCTATTATCAATTTGATCCTAAATAGAATGAAGATCATTTTAACATAAATGCAAGTATTTTGGTTTGTAAAACCTCAGATATGATTTAAATTATTTTAGGACTGCAGAAGTGGATGATATACTACTTTTGTCATATTAATGTAAGACATTTAAAAATCTTTCTTAGACATTGTCAGAGGAAGGCTTTTCAATAGTTGTAATAAAAGATTCATAAATTAATAATAATTTTCCAGGTTTATAAGGTTTGGATGTCAGCAGAAGCCATCACAGATGAAGAAATACTCACTGAAATTCTGTCTGAAATGGAGGATGATGTTTCTGATTCATTTGAAGGTGAGTCTTTGCGCCTATAAATCTAACAACTGAGATTTATACACAACCAAAGTAATGCAGTAAAAGATGCAGTTACTGAGATAGTACTGTTCTTTCATTTTAGGTATGCATGTCATAGGATTCAGGAGTTTATTTGGCTTAGATGATGGAGAAGATGTAAAGCAGAAGAGGATACTAGAGGAATGGAGGGAGAAGCGAGACCAGATGAGGAGAGAAAAGGAGGCGCAGAGGAGAGCAGGTATAGACAAGGAAGAGCAAAATGTAGATTTGCATGAAGTAGTTTTGGAAAAGGAGAAAAAGGAAATGTCAAAAGTAGACCCTGAAAATGGAGAGAAACATGTGAAGGATGATGAAACAGGGATGATAAAAGGTAATAAAGAGTTTGTTGTTGATGCAAGTGTTGATGAAAGTGGGAAGGAATTAGCTGAAATAAAC